GCTGCTCCTCCTGCCGCCTGCCGCCGCTGCCCAACCGCCCCTTGCCTTTCCTGCCGCTACTGCTGCTCCTTCCTCCTGCCACTGCTGCCTGGCGCAGGGTGGTGGTGCTGGGCAGGCACCGCCCTGCCTCCTCTTGCCTCACCTGCCGCCTTACGCCGCCGCCTGACGCCGCTGCCTCACCTGCTGCTGCATCTGCCGCCTGCCGCCTCTGCCCTGCACCGCCTGGCCTCACTGGCCGCTCCTGCTGCTCCTTATGCCGCTCCTCCTGCCGCCGCCGCCGCCGCCGCCTGCAGGGTGGTGGTGCTGGGCGGATGCGCTTGTGTACCAGCAGGCGGTGGTGGGGGAGCCCTCCCCTTTCAAGTACAACTGGCCGGGCATAGGTGCGCGCCCGCCCCGCCCCGCGTCGAATACACTGCTCTGCCTGCTGTGTATGCCTGTGTGTGTGTGTGTGTGTGCGCGCGTGTGTGTTTGCACACGCGTCGCTGCCGCTACGGATCGCGCTCTGCCGGCGGCGGCGGCGGTGGCCGCTGCTGCTACCGCTGTTGCTGCTGCCGCTTCCTTGGGAAGAGGGCCAGCTGCTGCGCTGCCCCGCCACCCACCCCCACACACTGCCCCACACACTGCCCCACACACCATACACACACACACACACACACTGCCCCCGCCTGCAGTCGCCACCATCGCGCTGGTCTGCATCAACATGCTGCCGCGGCGCGACCTGGCTGAAGCGGGGGAGGCGTGGGAGGAGGGCGGAGAGGTGCGCCCGGCGCCCTGCGGTGCTTGCCGCCGCCGCCGCCGGCGCGGGCGCTGCGCTGCCCTGCGCTTCTGCCTTGCCAGCGGCGGCGGCGTGCCCGGCGGCCAGCCCAGTGGTGTGTGACCGGCCTGGCAGGCCCCCGCCACACACAGTGCCAGCTGCCGAACGGCCGATGGCTTGCTGCGCGCGGCCTGTGCGCTGCCGGCGCGCCGCCGCTTGCCCTGCCCTGCTCCCACCCCCGCCGCTGCCCCCATCCACTCTCTACACCCACCCCCCCCTACACACTGCGCTGACCCCTTCCCTCGCTCTCCCTACCCCAGCTCCCCACCCCGCCGCCCCACACACGCACCCCCTGCCGCAGTTCCGCGCCCGCCTCTGGCTCTTCCTCTCCTTCCTGGTGGCGGCGGGGGCGGTGGCGGGCAGCGTGGCGGTGCTGCTGGCAGCCACTTCGGCCACACAGACAAAGGACCTGTCGGCGGTGGGGGTGGTAAGCAGGGGGGAGTGGGTGGGTTGGGGCGCGGATGAGATGTGCTGCATGTGTGTGGGGTGGGGCGGGTGCGCGGTCACCCAGCACACCGTGGCTGCAAGCGCGGGCCAGGCGCGCCGCGCGGCGTGCGCCACAGCCCCCGGTGAGCGGATGCCGTGCACCCTCGGACCTCTTCTGTGCACACTCCACAGCACCACCACCACACAGACACATACATCACGCACAGCGGCTCACCTCCCTCCTCCCGGTGCTGTCCCCCGCCTCCAGCCCACCAACACACTCCCCTTTTCCGCCCCCCACCCCACCCTGCAGGGCTCCGTGCTGCAGTGCGGCCTCATCCTGGCGGCCTCCACCCTGCTGTGGGCCTTCCGATCGGGGGAGGGGGACAGCTCCGGATACATGATGCACTGAGGGGGGCCTGCCAGGCGGCCAGCCCGAGCCGGTCGCCTGGGCTTCCCAGCGCCGATGGGCGAAGAACAAGGGCCTCTCTTGCTCCACCCCTCGCTCTGCGGCACCGTGCTCGCATTCATGCCCCCCATCTGCCCCATGCGCCTGCTTGCTGCCGTCTGTGTGCCATTTGCACGGTGCAAGCGTAGAACACTCCCCCACCTCCTCCCCTAGAGAGAGAAAGAGACTATAAGAGAGAGAGACGGAAAGAGAGCGCAGCTCGCTGGCTGCCAGGTGCTGCTACAAAACACCGCCGCCGACAGATGGCCAAAAGCAGGGCGGCCCAGCCGCCGCCGCTGGCCGCCTGGATGGGCTGCCGGCGGGCTTTCCACCAGATGGTCAGCAATCCTGCACAGCTGCAGCTTGGTGGGCTGGCTTGAAAGCTATCAGTCCTGGTTGCGGTGGCGGCGCCATACAATATATACCAGCTTCACCCCAGCTTCTGCTCAGCTTCTGCTCGGCTTCAGTCCTCCTCGGAGGCGGTACTCTCGCCGTCGTCGGACCCCGACTCTTCGGTACCGTACTCGTCGGAATCGTAGGCCTGCGGTACAGGAGCGGTACACGTGGTGCGGTACAGCTTGGCACACTACATCAGCCGCGGGGCAGCGGCCTGCTGGCGGCGGCGGCGGGTACGGTGGGGAGGCGGCACACGCAGGCGGCTGCTGCGGCAGGTGCCTGCTGTCTGCTACTTTCTTCCCCTCCTCTGTGGTCGCACCTCCCGATCCTCCTCCTCCTCCTCCTGCCCGGCATCCGACTCCAGGTCTGATCCGTCTGCGCATCGGGTGGAGGGGCAGCGTGTGCGTGTGCGTGTGTGCTCGCAGTGGGTGCCAGTGTGCATAAGGGTGCGGTGCCTCCAAACGTAACGCACAGGGAGGCAGGGGCAGGCAGGCAGTACTACCATGCCGTACCATCACGCGGTACCATCCCGTACCTCCCCGCATCAGCGCCTCTGACTCTTCTGTGCGCTGCAGCGCCGCGCGGCGGCCCCGCCCCTCTCGGTCCGCCCGCGTGGCTGCCTCCACCTGCAGGGGGTGCAGCGGTGGTGCAGGCGCGGCAGGGGGTGGGTGGGTGGGTGGGTGGGTTGGGGCGCGGCAGGGGTGGGGGCGG